CACCCACGCTGATAACACCCACTCTACATGCCCCCCGCCCTCTTTGCTTCCATTATTCACTCACCATACCTGGGAACAGGTTTATACACCTTGTATATTACCAAGATACTCTGACAAAAAAACAGGCCTGATCAGAACTACGAGGCGTGGTTCCACTGGGTTATTTATCAGGGCTTTGGCAAAAAAACGCTGACAAGTAGCAACAAACCACTCTCCGCACTTACTCTCGGATTTCAAGTACAGAGGCTTCGAGAATTAGATCCTCACCCTCCCCTTTCATACGCTGCATCAATACATTACGATTACGGGAGAAAAGTAAGCCTCACCGGCCACGGCATCCACCTTCTCATTTCCATTCAACTACCTCATTATAAAGATAATTAGATTTGTTGCATATTGTCAAGATTCGCCGAACACCCAGGGATCGAGTTTGCATCGTCAATGCGGTTGCCGCGGCAGCGCTCACCTGTCCGGGCGTGAGCGCCCTCTGGGGAACAGACAACGAGATGTCAAGGCCGTCGTCGCTAGCTCGCGTGACGGTGCAGGGTACTAATGGCTTTCCGTGCTGAAACCTAGAAAAAATGCAAGCCGAGAGTGATCATCAGACCCATTGGAAGCCGCGGAAGTGGCGCAGTGCTGCTATTGTCATGCCAGTAACTCGTAAACAAAGCAATCCCACACGCTTCCTCGTTCCTGCCTACGTCAGCCGATCAATTCGCGCCAGCAAGAGTACGATAATAACACTGATATATTAGATATGATAATTGATAAGGCTAATATATAACAATAATATAACAATAATATAATAATAATAATAATAATAATAATAATATAAAAATAGATAAAAGACATGCCAAGAATAATAAAGATCGGTAGTAAATAATGGAAACTCCTGATATGAATAATAATGATAATTTGTTTAGTCTACTTCTGACTCCAGTGTTGGTATGATGCTGTGACTTCAGCAGAACAAATATTTATCGATTCATGCCAAACCACACGTCTTTGCTCGCTAGGCAGTAAGAGAGCAAGAGAGGTGGTGAGCTCAGGCCAAGACGAGGGGATGCACAAATACACAATCCTCACCTAAACAGGCAATCCAGTCGACCGCCAGCCCTCAGCCTGGCCGGAGGTTGCTCGTCAATCCAGTACGCGGGGCCCGTTGTCATGCTGTTGGAGTAGAGAGCCGGATGGTGGGTCCCCGCAGCCTGGATAATTAACCGCAACGACACCGTTAACGAATAATGGATTTTCCTGCCAATAGCGGGCGTACTAACACTTGGCAACTATCCAACGTCATACGTAGGTACATCCATTTGATTGCTAATTCAATGCCGCAAACGTGTGCAGAAATATCGGAGAACGGCGACTGCTGCTCATGCTCTGATTCGCAATTTTATTCTGCGTGGCGCGAAGCAGATGGATGTCGAACACCAAGCTCGATCCAATCCGCCACGTCGGCCTAACGGGAACCAGTGGCAAATGCCCATCACACGCGCTCGCGTCGAACTCACCACCTCTACTTCGCGTGTTTTGACGTGCTTGCGCGCGACGTAGTACTTGTGTGGCTTGCCGCCGAGCCTGCAGCGCTGTCCGAGCGTGTAGTTGTGAATCCCCGCGTGCCTCCCTACGACCTCACCTGTGTCGCAATCGACGAAGTTTCCCGGTTTTGCATCTAGGTACTAGAAGAGAAGGATCAATGGCACGAGAGAAGGATCAGTGGCACGAGAGAAGGGTCAGTGGCACGAGAGAAGGGTCAGTGGCACGAGAGAAGGATCAGTGGCACGAGAGAAAGGTCAGTGGCACGAGAGAAGGGTCAGTGGCACGAGAGAAGGGTCAGTGGCACGAGAGAAGGGTCAGTGGCACGAGAGAAGGGTCAGTGGCACGAGCGAAGGATCAGTGACACGAGAGAAAAGTCAGTGGCACGAGAGAAGGGTCAGTGGCACGAGAGAAGGATCAGTGGCACAAGAGAAGGGTCAGTGGTACGAGAGAAAGGTCAATGGCATCAGGGAAAGCTCAGTGCCATTAGGGAAGGGTGAACGGTACTAAAGAATGCTTAAAAATAGCCGCGAAAGGAGTTTTTACTAGTTTTATTTTTAAAGATGGCGCCAAGTGGTAGTGGCTAATGGTAAGAATATTAAATTGTGTGCATTTCATAATAAAAGGATGCAAAAAAGCAATGCACTAAGATTTTCCGTGACATAAAAATACTATTGCTATGACAGTATACAAATTTGGACATTCATAGAATTTAGTAGAAAACAGTGCTAGATTGTTGTGTTAGATGCTTCAAGAAGAGGTCGAGTGCACAGAACTTTATTATCCCTTACCTGTCTAATAAACTTCTTGAAGTCTCTGGAGCCTATAAAACAGATGCCCATACTCTGCAAAAATACAATTCAAATATCATAACCCAACATCAAAGATAACCACGGGCCTTCCTTGGCTAAATTCGTCAGGTATTTGCAAATTCGAGATAGAAATGCAATGAGAATATCTCCCAACAGAATAAACGTGATAAATTGTCCTTCGCGACCTCATATCTCCTAAGCGGCCCCTTTCTTTTCATCAAATATTCAGAAAACTGGTGGTTTCAGGATGTGACAACAACTTGCCTCTTTCTTCTTTACAAGAAAGTCCATCCCTGCTTCGCTTGCAATTCTCTTCACCTGGTCCTTAGTAAGATCACTCAGAGGAAACATGGCACGTCGTAGTGCCCTCTGTCGAACTTGTGAGAGGAAGAACGTCTGATCCTTTACCTCGTCTGCTGCCGTCAGTAGTTTAACATCTGTAATAAATGTTGGAATTATTTGGTTGAAGTAATTAATCCCAATGTAACTTGCACCGATTTCTAACTGTGTCTAATATTGTGAATATGTGAATTTCCTTAACTATGTTAGAAAAAAAACCTGTTAATTTAACAGTGATGCATGATTCTTCTGGTATATTCTTTCATTATTCATTAACTATAATATAGCTAATATATACATGTGTGTGATAGATTGTAGTTCCCGCAGTACCGGCACAGGTTAGGAACCATGAAAAGTCCTGATTAAGCAATTGTCCCGATTAGGCAGGGAACACATAACAACAACCTGCATAAGGATCATTTTTCAAAGACACGAATTTTGAATATGTAAAATGTGTTATCAAGGAGCAGCTGAGATGCTAAGAATCGTTCATGAACATTGCAAAAAAATGCACAAACTTGCTTCTTCTTGATAATCTTCTAGGTAAGAACCAAAGCTCGTGCGTGCATAGTGTCCTGTCGCTACAGCATCAGCGTCCAATGTTGTTAGTGCGTGCTCGACAAAAGTGTTGAACTTGATGTGTCGATTACAAAGAATGTCTGGATTTGGGGTCAAGCCATTCTCATAATCGCTCAGAAACTCACTGAAAACGTATTACAGATAATAATAGATTACAAAATATATAGGTAACGTCCAAAATCCTCGGTGAATTTCTGAAATTAACCACGACTTCAAATTTTATATAAACATATAAAAATGTATTTGCATTACACAAGTGATCATATGTACAGTTAGTTACCTGAATACTTCCTGCCAATAATCTTTAACGAAATTCATTTCCTTGAGAGGGATTCCAAGTGTTTTGGTCACCCTGGTGGCATCTTCCATTTCCTTGTCTGCCATGCACACTCCAACCTCATTGGTAACATCCCAGTTACGCATGAAAGCACCTACGACCTCATATCCTATGAAAGCAAAATAAATATAAATTCCTTTATCTGATACATATATATATATATATATATATATATATATATATATATATATATATATATATATATATATATATATATATATATGTGTGTCTGTGTATGTTTATATTATTTATTCCCAGGTGATTAAAACCGAACCGGCTCTTATTCAGTGATATTAACCTTATAGCTGTTATGTTAATCGGTGTACAAAAGATGTGATATTTTATAGATCAATATTATCAATATTAGTATTTATTTATCATTATATTTTACGCAGTGGCTGGAGGTACGGTAGCTCTAGTACTATAGCCGCTTACATTAACTGCCGCTGGGCTATAGCATCAACCATTACGAATGCTCGGGACCAACTTACTCCAGCCAGTCAGCGGGAACTATGTATTTCCGCATGTGGAGGGGTGGGCGGGTTGTGTTGGTTGTGGACAAAAACATTGTTGTTGTCAAGTAACAAATTAATAATAGTAATTTGTTCATCTTTCATGACAAAACTAATATTACACAATCTCTTTTGATCGCTTAATTTGTTACTTGACAACAACAATGTTTTTGTCCACAACCACCCCAACCCGCCCACCCCTCCACACGCGGAAATACATAGTTCCCGCTGACTGGCGCTGCTGCAGCGCCGCCAGAAATGGCCGTTTGAAGTTCGCAAATCGAATGTTTGTTCACAAGAAACCGCAAGTATACCATTGCAACGATAGTTAGAGGTTCAATTTTAGTAGCGGCTATAACTTAAGACATATTCACTTCGGATAAGAGGCATTAATTGCCTACCACAGACGTTTTATAGTCGGGTATAATCGGGGATAAGTTGGTCCATCGCATGCCCCATGGGTCGGTCTATAGCCCAGCGGTAGTTAATGTAAGCGGGCTATAGTACTAGAGCTAGAGGTACGGCAGCCGTCGTTCGTTGAAGCCCCTTTTTGGCGTTAGGGTTAGGGTTAGAGTTAGGGTTAGGGTCAGGGTTAGGGTTAGGGTTAGGGTTCTAGCTCATCTAAACTCTCAAATCGTGAATTTATTTCCCAAGGCGTTATTTCGAAATCTGACGCCACCCGCCGCCATCTTTGTCTCGTTAAGTATGAAAGCGAATGGACTGCCGTACCTCCAGCCTCGAGACATTAAGATACGGCTGCCGTACCCGTAGCCACAGCGTATATTTTATTGAAACGCTCCAAGTGCCTGTGACTGTGACTGAGTATGAGTGTGAGTGAGAACACAGGCCCTTGGAGGCTCTAGTTTCAAGAAGAGTATAAAAGCAAAGCTCCGCTTCGCTCGCTTCGTTCTTATATACTCTTCTTGAAACTTGAGTGAGCCTCCAGAGTCCGTGGAGCTACGCGGTCCTGGAACCGTGGGCTACGCAGTAAACTATCCAGATCCAGATCCAGAGTCCAAGGGCCTGTGCCTGCTGTACGTGGTGTGAAGTAGAACTTGAACTTCCTCTACTAGAAGCGTAGGCTTAATATTATTATTATGCACCTAGCTTAGCTACGTTACTGACCCTTTTGTTTCAACAGCAACGCAGCTACACCACTATCCACGCCGCCAGATATGCCACAGACTACTCTTCGTATAGGTTGCATTATATAACGCTATGATTTCAACATTTCACGGTGTCTCCTGTGCGCTGCCATATTGGATCTGATTACATACGGGTATTTTGGCACAGTTGCTAAGGGAACACACATGCATAGATACATGTACATGTACACAATTTCGTACGACGTGCGTGGTGTTGACTGTTGTTGGTGGGTTGTTGGGTTTTGTTTCTTTTGTATTAAATAAATGTGCGTATTATTATGTGTAGGTATTAGTAAAGCATTTACATCAACCTACGACTACTTTACTTTGATCTTTATGGAAGCATGAGCTTGATTATGATAACAGAGGTCCCAAGTTGGGAAAGTCCAAGAAAGGGAGCCAGCAATCCAAGAAAGGGAGCCAGCATTGCCCCAACAATCCAAGAAAGGGAGCCAGGTCCATCGCCGTTTTTTCGCAGTGCGCAAAAACAGGAAAAAAGTTGTGGCGGGCTGCGATATGTGTTTGTCGCGGCACACCACCATTTTTTTATAAAGTATACATGTAAAATCATCGTTTTATCGCCTTTTATTGTTCGCTGGAATCAAAGTTAAATTGGCTACATCAACAAGAACGGCAAATTTAGTAATTTACTGATTTACTAATGTAAATTTTCATATGGCTGAAAAATGTTACAAACCGGGAGCTTCTGACCTCATTCCGGGGCACCGGGAGCACCGTGTCATACCGGGAGTCTCCCGGTGAGACCGGGAGACTTGGGACGTCTGTGATAATGATAATATTAATAAATATTGATAGGCCACTAACTCAGTAATAGACACGACGCGACGACAGATGATCTGATTGACATCATCATACTCATCATACATGTATTATCTGATTATCAGATTATCTGACATACATTCATTATTTCAATTTTTCCTTATTTATTTTTAATATATTTATATAATCATGCAATATTGGTTCAATATATTTTTTTAAACAGGATTTCATCAAGATAAAGAATGGCATCTTTAGACGACGAACCGTTGGATCTAAAGAAACTAGGAAAAGAATTGAAGGGCGCTCTGGCAGCAGACGAGGAATACTGGCTAAGAAATGATGCGAAGATGCGTGCTATGCAGCAGCGGGTGGGAAGCTATGAAGAATTCAGGGACATCGTAAACGCCGCTCACCTGCGACCGCTCGCTAAGAAGGACAAAGTTCCAGAGAGGCGACTACAGCCTTGGAACAGCCTGGCGTGCGCAAAGCCCTTTGCCACCTTCGACCAGCGCGCGGCTGCAGCCGAGGAAACGCAGTCCCAGTCTCCCACAAAATCTCAGCAGTTGCCAAAAAATGGCCACGAGTTTCTCCGGGACTGGAGGCGCGCGAAGGACGCGGAGGGGAGGTTCGACCTGCTGAGGGCGTGCGGCGGGGAACGACTGCGCCGGTTCTTCGACGCCGAATTCGTCTTCGGACTTCTCGGCGACGTGCTGCCGGTCGCGCGCGAGACAATGGCGCGCGATCCGTCCGAGTTTGCCGCCGTATGCGACGTCCTCCTCGGCGTCGCCCGCACGAAGGGCTTCTCGCTCGCCCTCGAGCTTCTCAGCGCGGCCGAACAGGAGGCGCGCCGGGAGACGATGGAGCTGCTGGCGTGTCGCGCGGCGGCCGACGGCGGGGCGGAGTGTTCGGAGCTGCTGGCGAGCGTGCGCGAGCAGTACGGCGACGTGCCGGCGACCTCGGAGGAGCGAGAGACGTGACGCGTACTCCCGTGGAAGGATCGCAGCTAGAGCGACGCAGTCAGAAACATCGGGGATTGTCCTTCGCAGTCTCTCACGCGTATTCGTACGTCATCTTGGTGTAACGTATGTTCACGTGCCTCGATCACCTCTTGCTTGCACTCATAAACTACCTGGTCGTTGTCCCCTGCTCTTCTTCGTGACCCTATATTGCTGTATTTTTGAACCAGCCGAGAGCCACAGATTAAATAATTGCAGGTTATTTCACGAGATGCAGATTATTTTATTAATGGGTTACTTAGCAATGGGAATATTGAAAAGAGGGCAATTGGAGGACTTAATTAGATTATTATAACTAAGGTATAGTGTATTGATATATTCTTTTTAGATTCACTATATATAATATATGTATTTTATGTTATACACCGATTTCAGGATATTGCATTACTGGTCAGTATTTTATTTCGAACAATTATTATGGCCAAGTTTCTCTTGGCATGCATAGAAATTTAGTAAATTAAACATTACATATAGATAAATATTTTAAGGTGACTTTGTTCCATTATAAACGAATCATAACAATCACTGTTAGGAATAATAGCAATGTTAATGTATATCTATTTGTATGAAAACACAGTAGAGTGTAGAGAACTCGGCCTTAAATGGAGACCACTCCAACGTAGTTTATGTTCGTTTTTCCTCGTGGCAATTCTATTTCGAATTTAACTCCCAAATCGTTTGCAAATGGATTTATGCACGCGTTAGACTAAATTAGTAATTTAGCTTCATTTATTGTGATGTTACAAAGATTCCAAAAAAATAATGCAACCATAAACAAATTCACTAACGTTATAGAAGTTTTTAATTTCATACGTGGTTATTTACAATCAAACGTCACACTCCGTATTGACTATTACAACGATAACTTCGACAGCGAATGCGTCCTTACCCGATTGTAGGTTTTGTACATATCGAGAACAATACCGAGAGGGATTTACCTAATAAAATATAACATATACTAGCACTTGGCAAAAACAGGGGTGACGTGGGACATTCTGATTAGCTGGTGCGCGTTGACGGTAATGCGGCTGACGGGGGACTGAACCGCGGGCGTACACACACATCATGACCTCGCAGACTTGGCAGCAGCTTGCTGCGCGGCTTTTTTCGCCTTCACCATCTCTGCCAGTTCCTGCAATGACAAACACAGCCCAATACAGACATGACAGTTTAGCGAAGGTGCCGCGCGATTGCTTTAGCAGAGTCGTGAATCAACACGTTCTTCTACGACCCCTCTTGGACACTGTTGCTAGGGTGATCGAGCCAGACCAGTTGGTACGTGTTCATTACGCGTGCGCGTCAAACCGTGAACGTTGCAGTACTTCGTTTCCAAGCGTCGTCTCGTAAAATGTTCCTTTACAACAATGGTCAGAGCTGCCAGTCTACCACGCCAAGCCGATGGCTAAAATATAACACTGCATAGATGCTGTAAGCCAGCGATAGAAATACCAGTCCGTCCCCCCCTCCGGTAACCTTTACCGAGCACGACTGGCAAATTTTTCTGGACTTTACTATATTGTATAACTATAGAGTACCGAAGTGTGACGTCACGTTGGCAAGACAACGTACGGGCTGGTTCTACACAAGCCACTGGCTCCATAGTGTAGCCATAGCGTGCGTACGTAAAACCCGAGTGTGTGCGCTGCAGACTGCGGTAAAGCATCGGTAGCAAGTCGATCTTACAATATTGAACGAATTAAAAAAAAAATTAAGAAAAAAAAAATTTTTTTTGTTACATTTTTTTTTTGTTACATTTTTTTTTTCCCCGTTGCTTTTCACTTCCATCCTTTGGAAATCTATAAAAACTGCAATAATGACTCTCAGAATGATGGTTACAATCGGGTACAAAACACGACACGCAGTTAATGTTACCAGAGCATATGATTGTGTAGAACCAGCAGGCTCGTTGTCATGCCACCGTGACGTCATCACTTCGGTACTCTATAGCAGAAGTCAAATCTTTCCAAATCGGGCCTGGCTGTGTTTTCAGACTCATTTCTAAGAGCGTGTGAGCACCCATCACTATCGCCTCACCTTGTAACGCTTGATGCAGTCCTTCTTGCTTCGATTTGGAATCGCATCGGCAATGCGATCCCAGCGCTCGGCCGTGCTGGATGGATAGGTCTTCAGTGCCTGTTCCAACCTCTTCTGCTCGTCCGTCGTCCACGGCGACGTATTCAGACCCATCATCTCGGCGGGCGCTGAAAGCACGAAGGGGTTATCCGTGTCATGACGCATGCCTCTGTATATACCTATCTGTCTGCCCATCTATTTATCTATCTACCTACCTACCTACCTACCTACCTACCTACCAACCTAACTACCTACCTACCTACCTACCTACCTACCTACCTATCTATACGTATATGTATATGTATATATGATAATAATTCGTGCTCATTTTCTACTGTGAAATTCCGTGTGCTACTGTGTACTAATGGTCAGCACACATCTAGCTATCACGATGCAGGTGAACAACGCGGACACTTACTCTCGTATCGCGCGCTGGGTGCCGACTCATCTGCCGGCGTCGTCCTTGTGTCTGCCGCTTTGCTCCGCTGCTGAAACTTCTCAAATGCCTTCTTATTGGCATCCTCTTTCAGCACGAAATCTACGAAAAACAGAAGGGGAAGATGCTGTAGCACTGACGTAATTGTTTCCGTAATTTCACCTAGTGCTCTCCACCTGCCACTGTAGATTTCCTATTTAGACGAGTCATTACATACATGCTTTCACTGAATGGTGCTAGTAGGGAATTTAGATATTGAATCACAAAAAGCCCAACTTGTCTCCAGAAAATATCATGACTTTAATAATGGGGACAGTATGTAAGAGAGTACTAGTTAATAGTTATTTTTGGGAACTTACCATCTTTTTGTAGTTTTTTCGCCATACCCAGTGTTTCTTTGGCATTTTTGTCAGAATTCGTTGTAGAATGTTGGTTGATGTAATTGGCTACCACCTCCCACCTATGTCAGACACCAAACAACATACATTGCAATGCAATGAATAACTGGACTGTAACACACTATTATATCAGCCAGACCAATGACTCTCCACAATTTTATTTGCTTAAAGATAAAAAGTAATTTCGTATAGATTCTACTACGACACTGTCACTTTTACACGCGAGTACATAGTGGAGACATTTTAGGTAATGTGCTAAAGAACGCACATACCCTAAACCTTGGGTGCTAAATCAATCAGAGGTGAAAATTCAAAGCAAATGTATAACAGCGAGCAGTATGTAAACAAATTTTTCTGTTAAATAAAAGTGTACCTCTATAATGCCGACATCTATTTGAGAAGCAGAAAATCGTGGCTTTGCAGTGAACACGACCGGTCGTAATTTTTGCACGAGGGGAATTTGAGGTCACAAATTTCGGAAATAAAGCCGCATTTAGCAAAGTCGCACGCCCAATTTCGAACCCTGGGGTACACGCACAGGTGCATGCACCCACAACACAGGCCAACATCCATTCTCGACGTTACCGCTGGTTCGTCCCCGCCGGGAACAGGTTCACGGCTTTGATGAGAATCTGAATCTCCTCCTCCGTCCAGTCCTTGTCCCGCGTCGTCGACGCGGTGCTTCCTCCCTTCGTGTCCCTCCTCTCGGCCGCCAGTAGCTCAGCCTTCTCCTTCTCGATCCTGGCTCGCATCTTCTTTACCTGATAGGAAAGGCGATGTTGAAAAACTACGAAGAAGAAATGAACTTCACTCCTCGCCCTCTCCCTCTTCATCTTCTTCTCTCTCCCTCTCCTGCTCATGCTGTCTCTCCATCTCCTTCTCTCTCCCTCTCCTCTTCATGCTGTCTCTCCCTCTCCTTCTCTATCTCACCCCCCTACATCATCTCTCCTTCCCACGTCTCCCACCTGCTCGTTGAACGCGTCCCGCGCGGCGGCCGCGTTGCCCGCGGCGATTGTCTCGTTCAGCGCCTGCAGCTCGACCATCTCCAGCCTCTCGCACAGCATCTCGACGTCCTCCATGTTGGCGAGCCGCGTCGCGTCGTCGTCGGCGGCGACGAAGTAGTCGGCGTCCTTCACGGCAGAGCGCAGGCTCTTTCGCTCCTTCTTCAGCACCTTCTTCTGCGCGTCCTTCTGCCGCTTGGCGACGGCGGCCTGCGCGCGTGCCTCCTCATCCTCCTGCTGCTTGATGCGCCTCGCCTCCTCCCGCTCAGCTTCCCTTAACTGCGGACGGCGAATGAGAGAGAGAGAGAGAGAGAGATGTCAGAGGCAAGTTGTCATAAAACATCATACATAGTTGACAGTGACTATCGTAAGGTAAGATGCTTAGACCACTTTTCCAGAAATATCATAAATAATTTATACTAATAATCATATTCATAATCATATCAAATTGACCATCATCATGTCAAAAATGTCTAAATTTTTGCACGACACTTAGCATGAAATATGATGACATTTTAGACCAATGATATCGTAACTATTAACGGCTGTGACAAGTGTTCTACTGGCTCAGTTATCACTGCCAACTGACATATCCTTCTGGCATGACTGACAGGCAGCTCTAGCCAATTGTTGTTGCGATAGGACGCTCTAATGATAATGCTCGTCAACGAATTGCCGCAAAGACGAAATTTAGTCGTCCACGCGCAGAAAAAAACATGCATAAAGTGGTCCATCTTGAATGACCTAGGAACGGTAACCATGGCGAAAGCATGGTTATCTTGCTCAGGCAGATTGTGTGGCAGCAGCGTGAATGACGGCAGACTCACCCGCTTCTCTTCCTCCATCTTCCCTCTGGCTGCCTCCTGTCTCACTCTTTTCTGCTCCTCTTTCTCCTGCTTCTTCTCATCCTTGAAACGCTGAATTCGAGGGTCGCAGGCGTACGCGTTGTCTGCCGAATGGCCGGGTAAATAAATAATTTGAAATAGAAAGAGTCAGTAATTTAGTTAAAAATCATTATTTTTAGAAATATCTCGATTTTTATACAAAACAAGGAAAGCGGTCTAGACCGTCTCTATGCGGCGCAGATCCACCGTGCTACCCTCGTGTGTGGGTTATGGTTGACGTTAACATTACAGGAGGCAGTGCAGTGAGACGTGTGAAAAGTGGAGACCTGACCTGTGACTGCAGGACATAGATCCACTGCCACTAGCCCATGTAGCTTATCACTCGATGCAGTCGAGCTACGACGTTAAAGATGGGCAGTACTAGGTACTCACCGACGAGGGTACGTAGTCGCGCCACCTCCTCCTTCTTCTTCTCCTTGCGCGCCACGCGGTTGTTCTTATCGATCCAGCGCCTCTCGTCGCGGTTCTCTCCCTTCTCCTTGTCATCCTCGTCCTCGTACGAGAATTCTCGCCACGAGTCAAAGTCGTACCTGCGCAAGCAACGATGTCTCAGCGTTAAAGGGATTACGTCACGAATTTTCTATGGTAAAATCTGTAAAAAAAAATTCCCATTTTTTTACATTAAAAGTAAGAACTAACGGGACTAAACAAATCGTCAAATTCTTACCTGATAAGATTGTTTCTCAACTAGTTAAAAATCCAAAAAACCTGGACGATTTGAATTAATGTTGTCTAACATTAATTGCTTGCTATGGGCGATGTATGGGTCACGAGTGTATGTTCACATCGAACAATATAGTAAAATAGGAAGTATAATGCAGCAATTCAACCATAAAATGTAAACAGAATTACTTATATTTTGTGAAAAAGTGGAAATATTGTTTTTATTTTTTAATATTCGCGGTGACGTAATCACTTTAAGCGGATTCGGCAACGACAGCGTCTCAACCGGTGTTCCTAACTCAAAGGCAAAACATACCACCAGCAGTTTTTAGGAGAATTCAGAAGGTAGAAATTAGCGTAGTTCGAATTATGCAGGAAGGCGTCACAGAAACATGTTACTACTAAGAAGTCTGCTGGGTGTCTTTCAAATATAATAAACTACAGATGGACAACATTGCGTGGCTTGATTTGAATTTCCCACAAAAAAGGCGAAACATCTCCAAATGTAGAAGGTCCATTTTCAAGGCTGCGAGACAGGGCTCGAATTAACCGACGGCACCGACGGCAATTGCCGGCGGTGCCCCTATCAATCGCCGTACTGCCCCTGAAAATCCAACCCGACCGACGGCAGTGACCTGCCTTGCCCTTTTCTGTAATTGCCGTCGGTGCCTCTGCCTCTGGCTAGACTGGTTCGCGGCCGCACTGTTTGTCGCAGAGCGTGTACATTCTCTAGCAGAGCGTGAGGCCGGATACCAGTCTACCCGGCGGCAAAAACAATAACGTGGTATTGCTGCCAACCGCTGCCAGTAGACGATCGCTAAATAGTGCACCTGTGTATGCCCGTGGTAGAACACGAATATTTAAATGCTGCACGCCCGGACTCGGCCCGCGTGCGATTTAAAGCGCGGGAAACGACGCTCGCGAAAGAATGGCCAGTGATCTGTACGGTGTGTAGCTTGCTAAGTGCAGTAAATTTAGAGAAATTTTAGTAGAATTCATACGATGACACAAAGTTTTCCATAACAATGGCCTTGGTGCCCTTCTCAAATTGTGAGAGTTGCCTTGATGCCTTTTAAAATTGCCTCGGTGCCCATTCATTTTAGAGAAAATTCAAGGCGATTTCTCACATGCCCCCAAAAAATTGCTTTGCCCCTCTCGTCGCTTAATTCGAGGCCTGCTGCGAGATTATACCTCGGGCCATAATAAAAATATTGTTTGTTTGCCCTCACCCGACCAACCTGCCAAAAAGGGGCCGACTCAAACATTTTCAAAAAAAGAAAGAAAGCCTACCTACCTACCCAAACTTTTCAGCCTGGGTCATGTGAGGGCAAGCAACGATTTTTTTAATTGTGGCCTCGTATCCATCCAACAATGATTAGTGAACAAACCTTTACATGAGGCAAGTTTTATTGTCTCTCAGATGCAATAGAAATGTATGCAGTATGTTACATGTAGCATGTATGCACACTATTTTATAATCAATTTTTGATTCGACCATATTAAAATAGATTTATTAGCTTGTAGATGCTCTTACCAAAAGCTATAGAAATTATCCACCTCCTCAAACGTTGACTTGTTGGTTCCTAGCTGAGGAACTGGTTGGTCCACCGACCACCTGCAAGGAGAGACACGGGTTGCTGAGTGTGCACACCCACACGCCCCACGCACAGCCATGCTACGTGCACGGTGTTGCAATACATGCTTTGATCAAGTAACCACCTACTGCTGACATGCTGGATTCGGTTAGGGTGTCCAACAGGAAACCGTCGGGATAATATGTTACAACAAGGCCCGTGAAAATGTAGATGCTATAGCTCCTCTGTGAAGCCATTCTATGATCTAGAAATTATCTCTACTTCTATAAACATAAATATGTTGACCTGTTAATGACAGTTTCTTGACCTTCGCTAACAGGTAAAATATTTCAATGTAGCTTTATAAAATTACGTTCGACATCACCAAATCCAATGAACTTCTGACATTCTACGACGCGTGATCGCCCCAGCAAAACATCCGCAAACACGTCGACCGCACGTCTGTTCGCACAGCGTCCGCGTCTTACCGGCTGTTCTCGAAGAACACGTCGACCGCACGTCTGTTCGCGCAACGTTCGCACAGCGTCCGCGTCATACCGGCTGTTCTCAAGGAACACGTCGACCGCACGTCTGTTCGCGCAACGTTCGCACAGCGTCCGCGTCTTACCGGCTGTTCTCGAGGAACACGTCGACCGCACGTCTGTTCGCGCAACGTTCGCACAGCGTCCGCGTCTTACCGGCTGTTCTCGAAGAACACGTCGACCGCACGTCTGTTCGCGCAACGTTCGCACAGCGTCCGCGTCTTACCGGCTGTTCTCAAAGAACACGGCGTCGAACGTCTCGTAGAAGTTCTCGCGGCTGTGAGCGTTCGTCGAAGGAATGGCGCTGTCGAACTCCGGGTCTACGCTGTCATACGCGCGCCGCTTCACCGGGTTGCCAACGATCTCGTACGCTGACATGAGGAGCGAGAGACGAGCGAGCGGTTAGATAAGTCGTGCGCGCGACATTTGCGCGTGTGCATGCGTGCGTGTTTGTGCGCATGTGTATGTGCGTGTCCACTTTTATGCGTGCACAGTGTGCGTGTGTGCATGTGTTTGTGTGAGTTTATCTGTGTAAGCGTGTATGAGTACAATGTAGATAGATGTACGTATGTATATTTCCAGTATTTAAAATACAGATTACACCCCTAACGATTAGCACTCACAGATATTAACAGATGTACATGGATCACGTATTATTGTATCATTGCATCATCACACATTTGCACGTGCTCTCTACACCCACCCCCCCATCCAAACACACTGTACAATTATGTACATACGGCAAGAGGCACGTAACTGCTTCGCGCAACCTTTGCTCACCTCTTGTAATACAGGTAAAGTAATCATCATCCTCACTGACCGCCCTCTTCGCCTGCCGCTTGTCGGGATGATGGAGAAGTACTTTGCGTTTATCTGCATGCGAGGTGAACATAGAGAAAATTCCTCTTAATTTGGTAGAATGGAGAAGACGACTCGAGTTAAACTGTGCAGACGTTACTGTATGAATACACGGCCTTATTGCACACGTTATTTAGATTGGATGAGTTAGATACTTCTCGCACTTTCTCTAGTCCACGTATGCATGCAACAGAATCATTTGAGGAACTCACAGGCTTTCTTGATGTCACTATCACTGGCCTTGTATCTGGTTTCTCGAAGACCCAGCACCCTGTAGTGATCTTGTTCCTGCGAGAGCAAATGTATTTTACATTGGTTACAGCTCAAAATTAGTTTAGTATGGAGAGTAGCAGCGTAACCTCTCTGGAACATGAAGTTGGTTTCAGCATTGTAGGTAGTGAACATTGTAATACACATCATGGAATATGGAATGATAGCACACATACTGAAGTCAAGCTGTGTCAAAGTTGAATGCCACATATCAAGGTTATTGCCCGAACTTTAGACCGTGCATGTTTAAGCCAAAAAAAAATAGGTGTGTTTCCTATTGCATTGAAGTAGGGTAGGTAGGTAGGGATTTTTTTTTTTAATACAATTTTACAGGTGTTTGCTAATTCGACATCTTACAGGTTATAAATAGGATTCCTCTTTTGTATTCTGTTTTAATATTGAATATTTCAAATTAAACAACTTTTTTTCTTTTTTTTTGGTTAAAAAAGTTTAGGGTCGGCCCTAATAATCTAGGGACGGTCGGTCGACCGGAAACACACCTATTTTTTGGTTTGGCCTTACCTGCAAGTGTTCGTGTATCAGAGTAGTGTGTGTGTTTGTTCGTGCATGGGTGTGTGTGCGTGTTTGTGCATACATGGGCGTGTGTGCGTGCCTGATTACATATGTGTGTGCCTGTTCGCATCTGTGCATCTGCATGTGCGTGTGGCTGTCTGTACGCATCCACAAACCTTCCATAATTTCGGATCAAGGTTCTTCAGGTAGTTGACCTCGTCAGCATCTTCCTCACCAGTCTCCACTTCATCCTCATCCTCATCCTCATCCTCCACCTCCTCCAAGCCGTCATGCTCACCTGAGCTGTTGTGAAAAGATGTGCGCGAGTGGCTATGATGGCGCCCTCGCTGCCGGAGGCAGAACGCTTCGTACCATCTCCCAACGGGTTCCACCTGCCTCGGTTCAGGCACTGTGTGGCACAAAGTTTGGCACATATAAATAGTAGTCGGGCATGCACTGGGAGTGGCTAGCATGTTACTAAGGACACAAACCCCTCTAACCTAGGCTACCAATGTGCAATACTACACGATGCTATGGCGGTGTGCGGATGTGTGTCCATTGTAGTATTCTTAGTTAGATACCAACTTTAAAACTATAGTAATCGGTAACATATGACAATCACAATCTGATGCAAATTGAAAATTATTTGCAAATTGTTTACAATTTCGTGGAAATAAAGAGCATTTATTCAATGAATGTCGTGTCAAAACTTATATGATACCACATAAACATTAGTCTTGAAAGTCCAGGGGAGTACATCAAAGATGGAGCGAGACAAAGTTGATAAGCACATCAACAGTGCGGATAGCAGCAGAAAAAGCTTCAATTTTGCAATTAACCAAAGAGGAAGAGAATTCCATTATGGAATGACAGAAACAAAGAAGTTAAACTTAAAGGGATCATTTAATGATAGCACATGTCGAAAGCATTGACCACGCTCAGATGATCGAGGGCTACGAACAGGCTTCATTAAGCAAGAGGGCCCAAGGATAGAACAGCTGTCCACATTTGCACATTTGCACATGTCGCACATTGCGAAAATGCATTGGGGCCACCTAATACATCCTTGGAACCAGCAAGAGGGCATGCCAATCTTCACCTGACCTGAAAAGTTTAGCATGGAGAAAGTGGATACGAACACAGGCACTTGAAGCATATCAACTGTAAACACACGCCGCCGCCATTGCGCGTACACTTACACATAAATATATATATAACTATATATTTATGTGTAAGTCAGGGGTCGAAATTAGATTTTTATTATGGTATCCATTCGGGATACCAGGTATTGAAATCTGGTATCCCCCCAAAAGATCTGGTATCCCGGATTTTTTTGGATAGTAATTTCAACAATGTTGGTATCCAAAATCTTGAAATATGCAATAATAGCAGCAGAGGGCATGCCAATTTTCACCTGCCCTGAACAGTTTAGCTGGAGAAAGTGGATACGAACACAGGCACTTGAAGCATATCAACTGTAAACACACGCCGCCGCCATTGCGCGTACACTTACATCATAATATATATATAACTATATATTATGTGTAAGTCAGGGGTCGAAATTAGATCTTTATATGGTATCCATTCGGGATACCAGGTATTGAAATCTGGTACCCCCAAAAGATCTGGTATCCGGATTTTTTTGGATAGTAATTCAACAATGTTGGTATCCAAATCTTGAATATGCATAATACGCTTGAAAATTATTATATGTAATGTAATTATTATATAAAAATCTCGCTCCCGCGTCTATCATATAGTGGGCTGAGTGCATTCGTGAGCATTTCCATTTTAACATAGATATATACACATACGCCTCCACAGTACACTGCAGTACGTATTGTCTAGACGATTGTCTGGTTGCGATTGATACAATCATGATACATGTATACACATGTTCACAATTTGATCAACATCTGCCACGCTTTCGCGCTTGCAATATGCTATGCTGCTGTATAAAAACGCTGATGTGTGACATAGTAAATTAGTACGTAAGGGCGCGACCACGCGCTGTCAGCCTTGCTCAGATGCGCTGCCGTTAAAGTTGAATAACTGCAAAACCACACCGGATTATGACGTTTTTTTTACTATCGGCGGGATAACTAAGCATTGAAATCTTGGTATCCCACAGAATCTGGTATCCCCGCGGATATCGGGATATCCGCTAATTTCGACCCCCTGTAAGTGTAACGAGCAATAGGCGGCAAGCGTGCTGTTTACAGTTGAAATATTGCTTCAAGGCCTGATGATATGAGGGGGGGGCGGAAGTCGAAGAGGAGAACACAATCAAGTTGAAATTGAGCCAAAACAACCTCTCAATTATTGATAGTTTTTAGAAACCCACCTCGCACCAGAGACGTAAATAATATTGGGCGATAATTTGAAGAAAGAGAAGATCCACAACCTTTATAAACTAGGTTAATAAAAGCTTTTGGTGCAAAGCTTTTATTTTTCTAATCGGAAGGAAGAGAACCTAGACAGAACCAATTGTGTATCGAACTTGAAGTTGAAGGGCCGAGTTCAGCCTTATGCGAAGAATGATACCAAGTACCGTAGTGCCTCACCCGATAATTTATTGCAAACGCAGAATCCTTCTTCGTCCTCTTCACCCCGGCGCCGTACACTCGGTTGACTAGTAATTCCCTGAAACATTCTCATTGTTGGCAGCTTATTCAGTCTTAACCGGCGACAGTTTCAATCGAGCTTTCAATCGCCGAACTAATCAACACGTTATGCGCCATGAAACCGTTTTGCCATGAGGTAATACCTATCACTCCCATCATCTTAAGAGGTTTTCCCGGTGGTGATGCTTACTGCTCCCATTTTCATGAAAGTTTGAAATATACGTACATATAATATTATATTATCTCCTATTTCTTAAGAGAGATCAGTGATAGAATTTTATCATACAAAATCTTATTTGGAATACCTGCTCTTCATATTAAAAGCATAATCTTTGCAAAATATTATTCCCTTTGAGAGATATTGCGCATGCGCGTGCAGTACGGACTGAAGAAAACGGGTGATTATGTTCTATGCCCGACTGATCGCGTGACGTCAGTGTACCGTCACGCACGGAACTCGCTATCTCTGAAGTACAGTTGAATGGCATACAGCCTAGCTGCTGATGGCTACATCACGCACCAACGCCTGATGCAAACCACTAACCCTAACCCTAACGCTAACCGCTATCGCCTATCCTAACCCTACCCTAACCCTATCCTAACCTAACCTAACCTAACCCTAACTAACCTAGCTAGACCTAACCCTAATTAATTTAATTAACATATTACTAACACTAACACTAACGCGCAAAAAGGTTAAATGGTAAGATAGAAAATAGAAAATAAAAATATTAACAGATGTGGATTCGACCATCACTCAAGAAGAATCGTTCGCGCCTTACGCGCTGCGCTATTTTGGTTCGCGTCGAATGATGTATTATGTTGTGCCCTATGATCATACAGTGGATGGTGCGTGCGTGATTCGTCTAGGCACTGACGTCACACTGAGTACATGACATCACCGCGATGCAGGTCGGTGGCAATAGAAACATATATCCACCAAGAAAACGCACAGCGGCAGTTAGATGGCGATTGATATGACTACTAGACACTTAGGATATGACTACTCGCACTTAAAGAAAAAAAAAACTAACCTAACCTAACTAAACGAAACCTAACCTAATCCTATAACGCCTAACCCTAA